AATAAGTCTCATCATTCTGATGGTCGTACAGATATTGCGCATCCAGAATGTCGTGCATTGTCACCAGATTGTCATCCTCACCAAAAACGCCTGTAAAAAGTACACAGACTAAGCCGAAGCCAGAAAAAAAGAACATGTCCCTTACTAAATCAAAATGATGAAACAGCCCAATTTTGGGCCGCAGCAGCTGTACTGACGGAATCCAACCGCGGTACTGGGACAAGACGTACATAATACATAAATTATTTGACTGAAACTGCTAAATAAACAGGAAATGCGTAAAAATGTATGTACCCATGCAGTTGTGGTTTTTTCTAATGTATATTTTCATTAGTATTTTTGTATGCGTTTCCCTTTCGCTTACTTTTATTCACTTATTTACTTATTCACCTCATCCATTTACCGGTTTTTCCAAGGACAGCACTACAGTTTCAATGCCTCTTCTACTAAGATACTAAACACCCAATGTACTAAGCATGAGGCACTAGACCTGAGCGAACTCTTCGTAATTCCTGCATTTGACCACCAACACCAAGTAATAAGCCAAGATGTACGCAGATTGTTCGCACATATGTTCCCGCCTCGCATTTCACCTGAAACGAAGAAAAGTCTTATCTGCAAGAACACAGGAAGCAAACAAGATGGGCATACACCGCTAAAGTGGGTGCCTGGTACTGCCTTTTTTGGAAACAAAATCGATCACGAGTGAGAAAAATGCCAAAAAAAAAAAATGAATCAAAAATGCAAAAATTTCGGCTATTTCTCTATTCACTCTCTGTAAACCATGAAATAGCTCGAGGGCGAATACCAAAAGCAACCACTCGCTGGTAAAACTATCAATAGTACCCTTCTCCAAGGGTCGCTTACAAGCAAGCTGATGGCAATGGTCAAATGTAGCTGCGAAGGAATGCAAGGAAATTCAAACTGCAAATTGAGAAAATGTTGCGCCTACCCAAAAAATGCCCATATTCTGACTGGGATTGTATTCGACCAATTTATTCTCATAGACTGTTCGAATTCGGAGCTGTCGCTTTACGGCCGAAATGAGCGGTGGACGTTGAAACAGAGCGCCTGTTAATTTCTCCAGTGCCTGACGCACTTTCTTTTCCGATTCAACAGCATTGTGTAATCGAAAAATTGCAACGTATTCTTTACCGGCGCCTTGCTGTGATTTTGCTAGTCTTGTCGCTCGGTCGATACAAACGATCAAACAGCCTGATACCTGAAAGTTAAAAAATAAGGAAATAATTATAACTGGAAATTGAAAAATAAACTGAAATTAACAAAAAAACAATCACAATCGAGTTTCCAACAAAAAATAGGAGAAAAAGAAGAAAACCATGACTGAGAACTCGAAGCAAAAAATAGAAAATAAAAAATAATAAAATCATAGTTGAAAATAAGAAAACCCACTTGAAGTCAAAAAAAAAAAAACTGAAGGAACAGAATTTTTTCAAGAAACAATTCAAAAAATCTATGTGTACTCGGAAAAATATCCTCCCCTTGATTTTGTTTTGCATTTTCAACTAATTCAGTTTCACCTATGTTTGGTGCATCCATCTGATATGGCACCTCGTTGTAAACTAAGAACTGTTAACGTTCGGACAGAGGTATTGATGCTCAACGTACACCAATGACATTTTGAAACTCTAGCAAAATGCTAGCTTTTTTTGAAGAAACGAACGTCAGGGTCACCAGAAATTCAACCAACGAAGACAAAGAACCAGAAAAATTGTATTGGCTAAAAGAACCAAAAAAAATTGTCAGCTGCATCTTTGGAGAATCAGGCTAAGAATTAAAAGATGCACCAAGTAATTTAAGTGAATACTTTTACCAGAAGAATCAAAAGCACGCACAATCAATTCAGCTAAAGCAAAAGTTTCACAACTAGTAAGCGTACCTTAGGATCCAATGTACCACTATGTCCTGTTTTCTGAACGCGTAAAATTCGTTTAATCCATGCAACTACTTCGTGACTGGACGGATTAGCTGGCTTATCCAAATTGATGCAACCAGATGAAACATAATTCTTGATATCCCGTTTCAGTGGTGAGCAGCCCTCCGGAAGTGGAGTGAAATGATTCGTCCGAACATTCATTTTATCGAAATTCTGGAAAGGAAGATTATTTTTCAAGCAAGTTTTCAGCAGAAAAAGTGCAGTAATCAAAGAAATTCATTTCTGTAAAAAAGAAAAAAGCAAATTTTTTGCAAAATCAAGGAAATTCAAAACCAACAAACCGAGAAAAATGAGATTAGCCAGGTCAAGGAATAGTTATCTCTATGCTGATACTGAGCCACACGGATGGAGACAACAAAAAAAACACACAACGGGAAGGAACCTTAGCGCACTATAAATTAGGAGATACTCAAAATAAAAATACCAGCATTATTTGACGCGTCTTATGCCATAAATCCATAAAAGGCATCGGTTTGGAAGTTTGGTGAAAATCATCTAACCAATGAGTTACTTATTGTTTTGAACAACAAAACAGATTAAAACTACTTTCTTTTTTAGAAAGAACGTCGGAATCGCCAGCAAGTTGACCATAGGCGGATCCAGAACAATCTCATAAGGGAGAGGAGGGGGGAGGGGGCAGCGAGTGGAGAGGCGGGGAGGAGGAAGAGTGGAGCTCCTGCACGGGGAGAGGAATGACGGGGGGTGAGGAGCAGAATCCGCTCCCATCCTGGAACTGTGC